AGAGGCTTTAGACAGAAGAACTGAACATTATTTGACATATTGAATGAGTACAACAAGTTGCAGACTAGGGGAATTCTTTAAAATGTTGTTTTCTCTTCACAGCTGTGGCATATGGAAAAGGAACCTATTTTGCTGTCAGTGCCAGTTATTCTGCCAATGATAAATACTCCAAACCAGACGGAATTGGGAACAAGCATATGTATTATGTGCGAGTGCTCACTGGGCTCAGCACACTTGGAAATTCGTCATTAATTGTACCTCCTCCCAAGGACCCCCAAAATCCTACTGACCTGTATGACACTGTCACAGATAACGTGTCAAATCCCTCGTTGTTTGTGGTATTTTATGACTACCAGGCTTACCCGGAGTACCTCATTACTTTCAGATGATAACCTTTAGAATCCTTTGCAGAAAGTATTATTCATTGACATTAGCTAGATTTAAACAGGTTTCAGCTTTTTTCTCCCATAAGAGCTTTTTTAAAAATTGCTGTTTTCAGACTGTATTTCATAATGAATGAACCTCTCTGGAGAGAACTAAATCTGAGAATTTAAGTCAGATAATTTAGTTACAAGTTTGTGTCCAAATGGTGAACATCATGGTTTGCAGACAAAAGAAGAGGAAGGGGAGCATACCGTTATACTGCATCCTAATGTGAGCTGAACCTTCCAAACCCCCCTGTGGTACCTGACTTAGGTGTGTAGTCCCAAACTCTTTATGCTGCTTTTCATTGCAAGATACACCTATGATAAAATGCAAGTTATCAGTTAAACACCATCAGAAGTTAACAACAATAAAATAGTACAATTACAGCAATAACTGTAATAGAATTTAATGAATGTGGGTTCCTTTTTTCTCTCCCAAATACCATCTTGTAGGTGACACATCGGAACTGTGGTTACCCATGGGTAACTGAACCCATAGAAAGCAAACTACCTGTCAGAGGGAGAACTGTTTTCTTCACGTCAGATGGTAAAGCAACGTCTGCAGCTGCTGCCGAGACACAGCTGGCGTCACGTCACTGCCGCTGGCGACTGAGTTAGGAATAGGGGCTGCTACTTCCTCGCACCGGGATTTATGATTGGCTCTTACACATGGAAACGGGTGATGGCACATTTCTAGTGATTTTATAAAGACAGACATTAGGATGCAGAAATGAGTCTGGCTCAATTTTTACCCCGATCTGATGCCTGGTGGTCAACGGTTGCACTGTAAATGCTCCACAAACCGAGTAAGCATGACAGAGCCTAGTCAGGCTGCCACCAAGAAGGGACAGTCTCTCCCGCTCCGTGGCTCACTGTCACATGCTGCAACCTGAGCAGACTCCTCGGCAGCAAACGTCCTTCAGGAACGAGGGCAGGTCTTGAGGAGCAGGCCTGGGCAGGGCTCTGGGCAGGAGAGCAGTGTGGTCCCACAGTCCAGGGCTTAGAGTAGACAAGAGGAGCTCGGGGTGTGCCCAGAGCTGTGTGGCAGAGCCGCCTGCCCACACGGGTCCTTTCATTGTCAAGCCCAACTCCACTCACTGTCTTAGTTCTGCCCAGTGAAGCCCGTGTGATGAAGCCTCAGAAACCTTCATTGCGAAACCCTTCTGCTATGTGGAGATTAAATGGATTCCGAGATTATTAAATAGCACATGCTCCTTGGCAGTCTTATCTGTGCATGATTTGAACATCGTGTGAATGAATAAACCAAAGTATTAGGCAGCCATATTGCTAATTTGCTAACCCAGTATCTATTTGGTACTATGGGAAAGTTTTTTTTTTTTTAACTTCCCTGGGTAAATATCAGATTCAATTATTACTTATTGAGCAACTTGATCATACCAAATAGTATAATAGAGGGCTTCACACTCAGTTTTTGATTCCCCTAAATAATCCTGCAATGTAATATCTCCAATTAAAGTTGGAGGAACAGGCCCTCCCTGGTGGCGCAGTGGTTAAAGCACTGCACTGAGAAGCTATAGCCACTTCCACATGAGTTCGATTCCGCCTGCTCTGGAGGTGACCACATGGTGTAGCAGACCTCTCCTGACCCGCCCGCTGCTCCCCACTCTGTCTCTGGTGAAGCTTCTCACCGCCCCTGAGCCTGTACCCCAGTTCTGTATGCACAAATAAATAAATCTTAAAAAAAAAAAAAGTTGGAGGAACAGGCTCAGAATGCACAAAGCTTCCCTCATGCTTTCTCTACTCTTATGCTCTTATGCACCCATTTTGGCACTAGCCAGATTCTCTTTCTGTGTCTTAATCTCTATAAAATCAGGAGCATATCTCCCATCACCCATTTCCATGTCATAAGATCCAGTCATAAGGCTGTCTTACCTCCATTTCTAGGTGTCTGTAATGCAGGAGCAAAATAGGAAGTTACAATAAGCACACACAATAAGCACACGTAATAAACAGAGTCAAGAAGCATTACATTTGCCTATACATGGCTCAGGATTTCCCAAGGAAGGCTGAACAGAGCAGATGGCCAGGATCTCCAGCTTTGGGGCTCCAGACTTAGGAAACTAGAGATACTTGCTATCAACAGGTGGATCAGGGAGGTGGGAAGAGTTATTCTGAGAAGAATTGGGCACTGCATTACTGCTGCATGATGAGCTAGCAAAAAAAGGAGAGGTGATTCAACTTGGTTGATCCTCCCCAGTGAAACAGAGCGTTACAATAAATAATAAATATTGTGCTTAAACGATTGCATTTTGGAGTGGTTTGTTATGTCATAACAGGTAACTGAAACACTCCTGGAAGGGAATTTTGCAACATATAAGGAAACTGCCTATATGACTACTCTTTAATCTATCATTCCCCACATCTAGAATTTACCCTGAGAACATACTTTCAACAAAGACAAAACTAGACATATACAAGTTTACCCATTGGGGCCTTACTTGTAGTAAAATGTTGTATTTTACTACTACCCCAATGGCAAGCATAAAAGTTTAGTTAAATAAGCCCTGAACAATTTACGAGACAGCTGAGTAGAGAATGAAGTGAATCTCTGGGTTCTGATAAGGAATAACTGAGAGGATATATTACATGCAAAAAGCAAAATCTGGGCGTTAAGTATGTTACTTTTTGTATAAAAATAAACAAAAAAATCTCATGCACATATACACTTAGTTTTGCAAAAAGAAACACTGGAATGATTTTCCAGAAACTGAGGGCATGCTTACCTGGTTAGTGACAGAAGTGAATGGAGGGTTTGCTCTGAATACACATTTTTATATGGCTTTGATTTTTTAACCATGTAAAGCTTTATATTCTCAATAAATAAATAAAATCAATAATGCACAACTGAAGCTTCAGTATTTAAGAACTTATTACCCAGTTCATCTCAGATATGTGACTGGTAAAAAAATTTTACATGTATCTTCACTATTTAATTTTCAACACACTTGTTAATGTCAACAAAAATCTTAACATATCAGAACTATACTCATTCAGTAATTGCAAGTATAGATTAGCTGTACGTATGAGAGTATTGGACAAAAGTCTTTGACATTCCCATTGTACCTTTTATTTGTCAATTAAGAGATTAACAACAATAAAGTAGTACTATTATAATAATAACTAATAAAATTTATACTTTAATTTAAATTTAAACTTTATAGCAGTAAAATGTACAATAAACATACATGCAAACATTTTTTTTAGAGAGAGCTGGTTGTTTCTGTATTTATTAGCACATCACTGGTGGAGGTCATGTATGTAATAAGATACAGTTAATGCTTATCTTTTTAAATGTGGTCTAGATTTTACTCACTGAGAGTTAAAGCTTGGACATATGCACAGACATCTGCTTGTCAGTTTTTACCTACAAGATCTTTACTCTGTTTACTCTTTACCTCCCACAACACTAGAAAGATCAAGTCTACTCCAGACTTCTGCAGAAGCCTCCCTCCACGGGATGGGGGCCCGTCCTGGTGGCACGACAGGTTAAAGTTGAGCATTATGATGCTATCTGCAGCCACTGCAGCATGAGTTCAATCCCCTGGCCAGGCAGGTGACCCAGGTCTGCATGGCAGACCTCTCCTCTCCCACCTGTTGCTCCCCTCAGCAGTGTATTTCAGCATATGCACCTGTTCTGCTCCCTACTTTGTCTCTGGTGAATCCTCTCACCCCTGTACCTCTGGTCTGTACCTCAGTTCTTGTATGCATAAGTAAATAAATCTTTAAAAACAAACAAAATGCAAAGGATGCAAAGGATGAAAAGCAAGGACAAATTCTGATAATTCACTACTGAGTAGTCATTTAAATTTTCTCATAAAATGTACAAAGGTGAAGTTGTCCTGTGTTTGTTCAAGGTGTAATGACCCAAAGCCGCTGCATTTATCTGTGACTTGAGTGAATGTTCAGAAAGAGCCCTGAACTTGGGGACCCTTTCACACAGATAGAGGGAGGTCAAGGTGCCCAGAGTGGTGATGGCCAGTCTTTGCTGTGGGCTAGAGATGAAGGTGAGGAATTGGGTGTGACTGCCCAATCATAGGGTAGCTATTTATGGACAAAGGTAGACACTGTCCGGGTAACAGTTAATAAGGTAAAAAAAACTAAGCCTCCACTCCTTGTCCAGCAGACAAGTTTAGAAGTTTGGATAGATAGAGTTCATTTATTAGGTTGAAAGGAGCCAGGCCATAAGACCCATCACCTTGGCCATGAATGCAGAAGCAGAGCCTAGAGAAACCCCAGCAGTTAACTGGCACAAACGGGGCTCCCACGTTAAAAAGCCCAACAAAAAATTAAAAAAGACCCTCAAGTCCTCCCTCCCCTGCAGATCTCTCCTGTCTCGCTCCCTTGAAGGGTATTTCAATAAATCCATCTTTTCTGTTCTCCACTCTGTCTCTGGTGAATTCTTTCACTCCCATGCCTCTGACCTGCTTCAATATTTTTCCCACTACAGAAACTAAGAATAGGGAGCTTTCTGCGAAATGAAAGTGAAAGGCATTGAGTGAGTCCTCTGACCTGAAGGTGGGGCTGGCAGAACGGGGCCATCACGGTAGTGCCAGGGGAAGGATGGCTGCCTCGGGCTCCTTTCCACTGCTGATAGAGGGGTCCTGGGGCCTGGATCCCCCAAAAAACTTGAGGACCAGATTGCAGCTGTACTTCCAGAGCCGGAAACAGTCAGGAGGCGGGGAATGCGAGGTCCGTCTGGAGGCTGGGAGCCCACCTCGCTTCTTGGTGTTCTTCTCCCAGGAGGATGGTGAGGGGCATTGGGCCTGGGGCTGGAAGGGACATAGGAGAAATTTCCAGGGGAAGCGTGGGGCTGGGGTAGCAGTAAGAGAATCCTAGGCCAGCGGTGGGGGGTGGGCGGGGAGGACCTGGGTATGGCAGGGAGGACGGCTGGCAAAAAGGACCCAGTGCTGCCCAGTGCGTGCTTTTTCACCCCGTGTGCTGCAGAGCTGCACCTCACCTTGCGCGGTTCCCAAACAAAGCTGTCTGGCCGCGCTTCCCTGCCTACCCTCTCCCCCCTCCCTCAGCTTCCCCTAACCCCCAGTGAGTTAATGCAACAACGTGGTAAAACTTTGACTGGTTATGATTGACCCACAAAATTTTGCAAGGCAACACATTGCCTTAGAAGCAGAGTTAATAGTCCTTTGTGGGTTTTTGGGGTTTTGTCTTATTAAATTCTAACAGGGTTGGTGCAGAGCTCGGTCAGGCCAGCCAATTCTGTTGTAAAAAGCAAAACTTAACTAGCTCCACCCGCTGCCTTCCTCAAAGGGAGGGTTGTGGGAAGCTGGGCTAGAGCTGACTTGAGCTTTGACTTCAGAGTGCGCGCACAGGTGGGACTTTCCTCTTGGTTTTGGATTGTGCCTTGTTGGGTCTCTCCTCTTCTGTGGCTGCGGCCAGCACACTTCTCTCCCCACCTCCATGTCAATAGAGCATTGTTTTGTCCCAACTTCTGTGACCAGCGGCAAGAAAGGAAGGCAGGAGGCAGAAAGGCTGAGCAAGCAGAGTTTATTGCTCCTGGACAGCAGCTGAGAGGGAGCCCTAAGAGTGGGGTCCGCAGCTACTGCCAACCCTATAGGGGGGAAGGGTCTCTTATATAGATTCTAAACTCAGATTCCAAAGGGGGTGACTCATCGCTGTGTCCTTGAAGTGAGGCCCACATCACTGAGAGTTAAAGCTCGGACATATGCACACACATCTGATTGTCAGTTTTTACCTACAAGATCTTTACTCTGTTTACTCTTTACCTCCCACAACACTAGAAAGATCAAGTCTACTCCAGACTTCTGCAGAAGTCGGGGGTTCATTATCACCTTCAAGGTCAGTTTATTAAGCTTTGATGCAAGGGTCAATTCTTTACCACCCTAATTCAGTCCTTGTCAGTAAACCTTTGGTCACTCCCAACAAGCATGAGTTCTGATCTGCGTACTTAAGTGCCTGGGTGAGGACTCAAACTGGATGATCCCCCCCTCTGCCAGCCTCCTTCTCTCCAATTCCCTGCCCCTATTAGTAAACCTGAAGGTGAATTCAGTTCCCAATAGTTTAGATCCTGGGAAAGACCCTTCCCGGAGAGCACATATGTATACGTGCAGCAGAAGACTGAGGCTTCCTTAGGGAAGGAGCTTCAAGTGTGGGCCCCAACAACTTAGTTGCTTTGTCAGCTCTCTGTTTATCTCTGCACAGGCAAGGTCTACATGTGGCATCTGGAAAGTTTATATTAAGGGGAAGGTGGGGAGATTACTTTTATTGAGGGAAAAAAAAAGAAAGCCTTTTTATTAGCCTGGCTTGTGAAAAGATGGAGGTAGGAAATGGTGGACTTTGAAAAACAGAGTAAAGAGCATGAATTTGACTCCCAGGTAAGGAGGAGACATTGCAAATACACTTGATGGAGATAAATCTGGTTGATATAAGAAAATATTGATTTCTATTGGGAGAGTCCATGCAAATACGACTTTTCAAAGGTTTGAAACTTGGATAGGGGAAGTAAAGGAGAAACTCTAAGATAACAGCTGGGAAAGGCACTAGGAAAAAGAGCCAATCACAAAGTAGATAAATAGAGTGAAAGGTTTAAATATCTCCTGGACACAGGTCCACATGGTATTGTTAAGGGGAAGGATGGCCTAAGGGAACTCTACAGAGTCTTATGGACTCCACCCCCTACTCCAGCTTTCTGGTCTCTACCCCCAACTCCAGTGATTGGAAACTACAACTCCCAGCAGTACCAGGGAGAGAACTGCGAGGACCCAAGGGCGGAGCTAAGCAGGCATTCTGGGGCTTTGGGGGATAAATAGGGCAAGATTGCATTTCTCACTCTCTCGCTCGCTCTAGAAGTAGCTCTCCGGACCTTGTTACTCGGTGTGTTCAGTTAGCCTAGCGGGTAAGGTATTCCAGTTACTTTGTATCCCACTCTCTTTCCCTGGGTTGTTTCCTACTCCTTTCCCCTTTTGTAAATAAATCCGTTATTGACCCTTTTGTGTGTGCCTGAGCACGTGGGTGAGGCCCCACAGACAGGTGGCCCAGTCCACTCTGGGCTACCCTGTAAGAGTATCTCTTGCCACCTTGGCATCACTACCTTAGGGTCTTAGCTTTTGTTCTTTGTTCTCTAAATAAAGACTTGGTTCTCTTCGCTTATTAATCTGACGGTTTGTCTATGAATGTTCTTTTATGGATTCGTGGGACAAGAATTAATTATGGTTTGAGAATTACCAGTGTGGAAAGAGCAGGAGCTATGATCAAGGTAACAAATCATACCGAATTCATACTCACTAGAAGACCAGAACACGGAGGATTTATTCTAAGGCTGATTGAAGAGTATTTAAAAGTTAAAAGGCAAATTCAAAGATGCTTTTAAAAGTTGTTTTTTTTTTAGATGATAAAGCTTATATTGTGTAAAATTAAGAAATGATGTAAAAAATACATAAAATAAATGAAAAAGAAGGCAAAAATAAGTTTTCTATTTTAGAAGGCCTCTTTTGGGAAATAATGACCCCATTGATGAAAAGTATTCCTATGAAAATTGCAGCATAGCTTTGTGAATGATGATTAGTTGACAATTGTGGGTTTTTTGTTGTTGTTGTTTGTTTGTTTGTTTTATATTTCAGTTCAACAGAAAGTTCTTCAGAGAGAGAACCACAAGTTAGTATGGCCAGAAAAAGGAACATTCAAGTTAACTGTCAAGTTGCCCACTGCCCCAGATAAAGCCCAGGCTTTTCAGGGGGAAATTCCAAAAAGAGTAAGTAAGGTGTGACTAAAAGAGAAGTAAGGGGTTCATCCTAGGTGTGTGGGTGGGATCCCAGTGCAAAAATGGTGGGAAGTAAATAAATAAAATTGGAAAGAGTAAGGTAACTTATAAAATAGAGGGAGTGAGAGTGTGAAGAGTAGGTATGGAATACTGAAGGAGGGACAGTTTGTTTGATTTTTGACACTTTTAGAAAAGACAAGGTTTGGAGTTTACAATAATGTTGGTTGAGATGTCAGATTTAGGGCGTGTCCAGGGTGCATTATAACCTGGGACTTAGTATCTTTGTTTCCTTTCACCACTGGTTTGAGGGGTTGGTGACCCACACTGCATGCCCTGATGTTTCCTGAACTGGAATAGAGTCCCTGTGGGGGGCGGTTGGCTGCTGAGGATGAAACTGGAAGACTTCATTCGGTCGTGAACGTGAACCAGGCACGGTGCTTGCTCAATGACCGCTCGGGGAATGTTAAGTGTGGAAAGGGGCTTAAGCTACACTGTGACTCTGGTTTAGATCTTGCCTCACACCAAGAACAATGTTAGGGGTTTCTGTTATCCTGACTTGTTTATACCTGTTTGTTCTGCTGATTGAGCTGATGCACCAGACCCCTGAGGCACCCAACTGCATCATTCCGGAAGACACTTCATTGTTTTCTCTCTAAGCCCTAACGGCCCCAGCCTGCGCCCAGAGATACTTTGTCAATGTAAAGACATGATTGCTAATTCATTAATGCTACTTTGTTGTTTGGGTTTTAGGAATCCAAGACCCAAGGCCATGCCAAAGAGCCAGGTAAGGTCTCCCCACTGAGGAAGCTTTGCTTTTCTCCAGGAGAGCAGGGCAGTGGCCATTCCTCTCATCCCGACTTTATAAGACAGGTTTGATGTCTCTTCTGTTGCCTCTTTAAGCACTCTGTGTTCCTGTAATTCCTTTTTTTCTACTGTTCAGACGCAGTCCTCTGCAGCCAGCCTGGAAGGAAGCTCAGGGCTCAGCTCACACTGCTGATGACGGTGGGGCTTATTCTGTCCTTTCCCTGCTCTGCCAATGCTTGTGGGGCTCTGTGCTCGGGGTTCCCTCTCTGCCCCGTGCATTCAAGGGGAGCATCTGCTCCCCTCATGCTCAAGTTATATTGCTGTTAGGGTACTATTCTCCATCCTCATTTTGTTCAGTTTAAAATTATCTATACTACACCACTTAATATCAAAAGTCCTAGTCTTAACCCATTGTAAGAATTCAGTGGGGGAACAGCCTTCAACAGAGGACCTCCTCTTCCATCTCTAAAAGGGACCATTCAAAGTAACTTGTTTGAGATCACCCAACTTCCTATCTGATTATTCTCATTTGAGCCAGGTCAGGTAAAAATAGGTTAGTAAAATCTCCAGGACAATGAAAAGTCCATTGGTGGAGTCAGATTGGATGGCTGTTCCTGAGAATACACTTGAAGTTTTAAGCAAATTTGAGACAATACTAAGCTTAGAAGCCATCAAAACATAGATATAAATGTGCAAATACAAAAATAGTTAAATGTACTATTTTATTTTTATTAAGTTAAAGGTCTCCTGAGGTCTGTGTTTATTTATTTGAGTTAGCAAAAAGATTGAAAAGGAAAGGAGATAATATCTTGTGGTCACTTATATTGTTAAAACTATGGTAGATAAATTATAACATTTAGTAAATTATTTTTTATTGTCAGAAGAACTGGATATAAAACCCCCTCTCAACAGAAGATCAGAAGAAATGGAAGCTCTCGGAGCAGAATGTGAAAGCACTTCTTTGGTTGCATTTGAAAATCTCCAGACAACTATGACTGAAGTGATGTTAATCTTGTTAGTAGAGAATATAAGTGGCCTGTCCAGTGATGACTTTGAAGTAGAAATAATTCGAGATTTTGATGTTGCCGTAGTTACGCTTCAAAAATACATAGGTAAGATCTCAAGTGATGCTTTTTTGTTGTACACACTTTGGGGTTTGGGATTCTCGCTAAGGGACTGTTTCTGAAAGTTGCTGTCTCTAATAGCAATTTACAGGGGACTCTTGAAAGAAAAGCAAATTTGTTTTGAAATAAAAACCTGGCATATTTAATAGATCAAATTTTATTACATGAGTTTCTGTGTGTGCATGTGATAAAGGAAGACAACAATTGAGACATAGACAGAGAACATGTCCAAACCAGTTAATAAACAGAAGTTATTAATGTGGTTCAGAGCAGAGAGTCACATTGTCCCAAGGGTTACTGCTCTTGGAGGAGTAAATATTGATCTGCATTTTCAAACTAGACTCTGAATTTACCAGATGTAATAATACTGCTACTGGGAAGAAGTAATAATAGCAACAAACATCCATATGTTGTTGTCTTATACCAGTCAGAGCTCCTTACATTTATTTATTTTTCCTTTCAACAAGAGGCACTAATAAGTGGAAGGGCAGGACTTGAACCCAGGGACCCACTGCCCCAGCCTGTCCTATGATCCCTTCTTCCAGGCTCTCCCTTAGTACTTCCATGGTCATGCATACACCAAGATGAGTAAGAGCTTGAGATACAGAAAACGAGTGCCCCCCAGGTTACTTTCAGGAGTCTGTGGTCAGTCCCTGCAAGTGGAAGAGCTGTCTCCAGAAAAACAAGGACTTTTCCAGTTCTGAGACCCATTGTCCCAAGGCCGGGGCAGTGGATTGGTTAGTGAAGAGCACATTCATAAAATCAAAGTCCTAACTCTGCCATTTAACTGACACCTGAAGTTGTGCATTACTTTCCTCACCTGTAAAGTGGGAATAATAATTACCTAGTCCAGTTTCTTAAGAAATTAAATGAGATAGTCTGAAAGCACTTCAACTAGTCGTTGAGACATGGTAAGGATTCAAGAAAGGCAGCTATTCCTATTTCAAGTTTATGATAAGTTGTTAATATCTGAACTTGGTTTTGTTCTTTAGTCAAAAATCTTTAGCACCAAAAATATGACACAGCAGTCCCATTCCTAGGTATCTACCCAAAAGACACAAAAACACTGATTCAAAAAGACACCCCCCCATGTTTATTGCTGCTTTATTTACAATTGGAAAGACATGGAAACAACCCAAATGCCTAAAAGTGGATGATTGGATTAAAAGATGTGGTATATATATACAATGGAATATTACTCAGCGATCAAAAAAGATAAACACATGCCTTTTGCAGCAACATGGATGGAGCTGGAAGGGACCATGCTTAGTGAAATAAGCCAGAAAGAAAATGAGAAACACCAGATGGTTTCACTCATAGCAGGAGTATAATGGACCAGGGGAGAAAATAATAATAATGAGCAACTATATACAAGAGACATTTTATGGGGGTGGGGTGGGGAATGGGATCAAAAATTGGGGGTGCGGGAAGTGTACTGGGCTATGATGATGGCACAACAGTGAATTGATGGTGGGAAGCCCACAGGGATTACAATGGAGATGGAAAAAGGCACAAAATGATGTAAAAATAAACTATTATGTTATTTAAAAAAATCCCATTAGTAATAAATTGTATGATGATGGCTAAAGTCAGTATAGAAACTTAAAAAATAAATCTTTAGCACCTATTATCTGTGTATAATAAACCAAAGGTGGCTTGGTGCAGCCATGTATACTCCTTTGGCAGTTCTACTCCACCAGCACCAATCACGTCCCAAATATACTCTATTTCATGCCACTGCTGTTTCCTTTGCCTAAAATATTTCCTCCTCTCATCTATTGTTTAATCTTCTTTCTTCAACAGCCAAGTCATTTACTCTGGTAGTCCTTGTCCATTTTCCAGCAATTTGCCTTCCCATCTGATTTGATTCCCAAAAAGGCAATTTATTTCCTTTAATACAACTCCCTCTGCCTGCCCCAATGGTGAACTTACAAGGATGTCTTATGTTTATTTCTGGATTTCTACTCCTAGCAAGAACATTTTTGGGACAAAAAAGGCCCACTATCAGTTTTTTACAATTTGAAAGATTCTTTTGAGTCCTGAAGGAGGAATAAGAAGACAAATAAATAGACAAATAAAAAGGGAAGGGCATGACAAACACAGGAAATTGTATATATGGAAGCAAAAGAGAATGGGGTTTAGTTTTCTGTGTCAACTGAGTAATAAAATGAATAGCAGGTAGTGCTCATGGGTGATGCTTAGAAAAAATATCAAATAAAGTAAAATAAAAATAAAGTATCAGGCTCAATTCAGAATTCAAGTCTAGACAACAGGGACTGATTGACAAATTCTTTAGCAAGTAAATTACATGGGGTTTTAAGAAGATTAGGATGAAGAATGAAGCAAAAAAAAAAAAAACAAATAAATTTAGTGAACTATATCACCACTAAAAACAAAGTTATATAATGAGAAAAAAAAAACAATTATTGTATATTACTCTTCCTACAGTGCTAATGACTAGGAAGTTATAAAAACCAAAAAAAATAGAGTTGATCATCTAAAAAAAAAGGAGGAAAGAAATTAGTTTGGAGTCAAACACCCAAGGGTGCTGTAAGTCTAGGTAGTAAAGTCTAGCTTGTCTGCTGGGAATAAGGAGCCATTAGATGACTTGAGAAAGGTGGGATATGAGAATATCTAGGAGGGCAGGAAAAGGTGTGACTGGAGACAGGGACAGAGTTAAGCGCAGCAATCCAGTTAGGGCATTGTGTGATGTGTGGGCTTCTTTGAGAGACTGACAGGTGTAGGCACGTAAATTCTCACATAGTCACTAAAATCATGTATCCAAAAGTAGACTGCTTAGTTCTTCTTTACCTTAATTAATACGCAGTCTGTATCTTCTGTATAATAAAAAATCCGAATTTTATGACATTCATTCATTCATTTAATTACTTTGTTTTGTAGATGTCATGAAATTCATTGCTGATTGTGCCAAGAACAAGATCGTAAAACAACTTCAGCTTTCTCCAAGACTACTTGAAGTGACAAAAACAATCAGGGTGGAAAACCTGCCACCTGATGTTGATGTCTGTGATTTGAATCGTCTATTTGAAAATCCTCGTAATGGAGGGGGAAGAATTGCCAGAATTGAATGTTTTCCTGAAGAGAGTTCAGCTCTGATTGAATTTTTTGACAGAAAAGGTAAATATCTAGTAGCCTGATTTTCAATCCTCATCTGGCATAATACCTGCTAATTGAAAATTTTAGCAAATCATAACAGTAATCAGTTGATGTGTTTCTTTTTTTTCTTCATTGGAAATCTGACTAGTAATCTGTTCATCCTATAGGTGATGTTTAATGAGTCCAGCAATTCAAACTTTACAGAAGAAATGTCAAGCTTTTGAAAGATATAAGTGTAGACATGTAAATTTTCACATGGCCATTACAATCTTAGTGTCTAGTTCTTAGAATCTTTGAAATACTTTTTTTCAAAAAGTTGATCTTTTTTCAATTTCAATACTATTATTTATATATGTATGCTTTTTATACCATTGTTCATTTTTGTACTCCTCTCAGATATAGTCCCTATAAAATTTCCACCACCAATTGATCTGTGAATTATCACCATAGTGCCCTCTCTTTCTAATTTGTGTTTTAGCAGTATACTTGTGGACAGTCTCAAATTCAATTCCAAGGTTAGGTAAGGAGAAACTGAGAAACCTAAACAGTTCCTATAAAGAATCATTACTTCCCTGGTTGATACTGCTCAAGGGTTCTCTGCCAGACACACAGAAGCCAATTACTATGGCACCAGCTTTGGAGAGAAGAAAGAGTTAATTTTTTTTTTTATTACAAGATTGACCAGCAAGGGGCAGAGAAGCATGGCTCAAATCCGTCTCTCTAATATTGGGAATACGACTGGTTTTATAGAAATGGAGGCAGAAATGGGGTGGAGGGAAGGTTAGAAAAATAAAGGTTTTGGGCTTGGCAAAATCTGGTTGGATAACTGCAAATTAGTCCATACATTGAAAGTGTTCTTGGATTCTCAGTAATTTTGCTAATGAACCCTCACATCTAAATGTGGTCTGGGCAGCTACTGACAGATCCTTCACCTTTAAAGGGGGTCCACAGTGAAGATTTTTCTGTTTTTGTGGCTCATGTCAGCTTATTTCCAGCTGACTAGGAATGTGACATAAGGTCATTTGCTACTATGCCTGCTCAGCTTACATGACTCAAATGGGCATCAAGATCTGTTGTCTCTAACAAGTGAAAAAGTAGTTAAACAGGCATAATTATTTTGGGCAATCAACCCAGGTTTCAATTCCCCTTTGAATGTGTTCATTCCTCAATCTTGAGCAGTTGAGGCAATAGCCACTGTGACTGCTTCCTGCTGCTTAGTGACACAGGATTAAGTTAAGAGTCTGAGGAATGAAAATTGTTTTCATTCTTTTTTTTTTTAAATGCAAAGTACCTTCAGATTTTATTTTCATTTGCAGTAATAGCAACATTAATAAGCTAATATTTGATATCACAAATAAAAATAAACCTGACGGTGATTATTTTGTTGGGAATTTAATTTTAGCTACCCTGAGTGGAAAACCAGTGATGACATTGTTTTCTATTTAGTTGTAATTGTTCACATGACTCCGGCAGAGAGCATTAATGCATTTAGTCAATAGGTCCTGAAAAACAGTATTGAAAGAGTGAAAGGAGAAACATAAAGTTATCTGAGTAGATAGATAAGGGTAATTTAAAAGAAGAGCCATTAAGAGAGTCATTTAAAAGAAGAGTTATTAAAATCATTCAAATTAAAGCAGATTGTGGTTACTATTTCTAAACCTGGGTAAGGAAGGAAGCCAACAAGACAAATTAACATCCAGGGTTAAGTCCAGATGGCTTGCCTTTAAGGGACCTAGATAATGCTAATATTCGGTGACTTGTAATTCCATTTGTTAAGAAGTATTGGCATATGTACAACCACTAGTGTTTACTGAATGCATATGCTTCCCTGAAAGACTAAATCAGACCTGAAATTTCTTAAAGCACCTCAATGGCTGTCCTTTACTATGACTCATTTCTTGGGTCTCAAACCCAAGTTTTTCTTAGCTCTAATCTAGGGCTAGAGTTCTAACCCTCCATGGTCCCTGTTACAGTGAGACTTGAGCCCACAACCCTTAGGAAATCAATATGCAAGATAAAGTACAAGTGCTTACAATCAAGTCACTTGCCCGTGAGGATTATTTTCAGAATTTTTTTTCCCCTCAAAGTGAAAATCATGCCAAAGAAACCTGGAGCACTAACACAGGCTGGAGAGAAGGGACTGAGCTCAGTCAGGAGGTTTCTAGACAAGTCCATTAAATAGCCACTCGGGTCAGATAGATAATGGGATCTGCAGCACCCTGCTGAGAATTCAGTGCTTTCAGCATGCAATCAGGGTACCTCTGTCCTACATCAAGAGTCCCACTTTGGTTGCCAGGTTGATTCCAAGCAAGGGCTCACAACTCCAACACACATTAAGCCAATAATTCTGACATTGACTTTTGAGAGGGGCAGGAAAAGAAGTTTATTTTGGTTTGCGGGTTGATTTGCAAGGCCAGCCAGCAAGGAGACAGGAGGCATAGCCCAAATCTACCTCTCTAGTATTGGGGCTAGAACGGGATTTATAGAGATGGAGAAAAAGGGGGGACAGTTAGGAAAGTAAAGGTTATGGAGTTGGAAAGATATGATAGTTACAAATTGGTCCTTATAAAGAAAGTACTTCTAGATGCTTGTTTGTGGATTCCCTCTCCCTGCTTCTGCTTTAAATGTGGTCCAAGCAAATACTGAGACTTTTAAATGGAATCCAGGCTAATCCTTTCTCTCTTTTAGCTTATTGAGGATTTGCTTTATGCTAGTATGCAGGCTCAGGTTAAATGACTCATAGAATGGACTCACCCTGTTGTCTCTGTAAGCCAAAGTTAAAAAAGGAGTTAAACTTGAGAAGAATTTTGGAGGATTGTCCATGGCCTCACTTTGCCTGTTAATGCCAGCATTCAGCAGTTAACAGGGGCACATTCACGCAGTAATGGATGTCTGCTGGATAGTTCTTGTGGTGATCCCATGTTCAACTTTAGAGTAACAGTGCTGAGGGGTTTATAGACACACAATGCCAGTTCTCTGAAGTATGTGCAGTCAGTTTGTGCTGATTTTCAGAGGTGAAGGCTGAGGAGTATAGGACTTAGGGAATCAGACTTCTTAGGGAAAGAAGGAACAGGGATCCATGAGGCAGGATCTTGTGGTATGTCTGAAGGCAGATTGTTTCACCAGGATCCCTGAAAGAAGCTCCTTTTAGCTTATGAATTGGAAGAATGAAGGTGAAATTATGATTTGGGTTGAAATGGGATGAAATTCTAGCATTCCTTAGGCAAAGGGACAAAGAGGACTTATATATGTTCTTTAAATCAACTTTCACCTGGTCTTTGACCCAGGGAGAGAGCCACACACTGCTCCCCACCTTAAAATTTGACCCCCCAATCTGTGGTAGGAGTTGGCAGCTTCCTCATTTTCAAACATTTTGAGGACATGAGCCATTTGGGTCTATCCTTAGAATACCCTTTTTACATGTATACAACTGATAATAGGGCTATTTAGTTAATGTTTATTTTGCTCTGGGGACACATAATGGGGTACTCACCAAGTTTCCTCTCCACCCTGCCCTTTTTCCACCTCCTGTCCATCTCTGTTCTCACTCAATCCTCACAATCCTCACAAGGACTGGCTGTCCGTTTTCTCTCTGCCCCTTGCATTACTTACGATTTTTACTTCTATAGCTCTGCAGAGCATTATAAAGTGCATCTCAGACACTGCTTTAGGGTCATTGCTATTAATATAAACTCTTTTGAGATATGAGGACACTGAGACACAGAGAGGTTAAATAACTTCACCAAAGTTATACAACTTGTAGTGACAGAGCCAGGATTTCAACCTGTATAGTGGCTAAGCTCTTAACCATCACATTTACCCAATCTCCTGTTGGCATATCACATTAATTTTTTCTTAATTAATAACTTATACTGGTTACCAGTAATAATACAAACTACATATAACACTGGATTGAAAGTTATTTATCAAGGTTGTAGTTTTTTAGGATTTATTTATTTATGCATATAGAACTAAAGTACAGGCCAGAGGTGCAGTGTCAGTGAGAGGATTCACCAGAGACAGAGTGGGGAGCAGAATAGACAAATTGACAAAGTACACTGCTGAGGGGAGCAGCAGGTGGGTCAGGAGAGGTCTGCCGCACCCTGTGAATCTCCTCCAGGGCAGGGATCGAACTCATGCTGAAGTGGCTTTAGCTTCTTAGTGCTGTGCTTTAACCTGCTGCGGCTCCAGGGAGGGACCATCAAGGTTATCTTTTTTGCATGTTATTTGAGAGGACTAAATTAGGCACTACTCTGAAATTATTTGGTTTAATTTCACAAAATCAGATTGACATAAACTTTCAGCGAGGGTATTCTTAAGACCACCTGTTATATGTAAGATCTTTTGCTGTCTCATAATTACCTGAAAGGAGGGATATTGCTGCTCTTTCTTTATAAGAGAGAATAGAATAGAAAACTTAACTAAGGCAACATCTCTGATGGTTCTTGAGTCAGACAGACCCATGTTCAAATCCTAGTTTGATGCTTATTACCTTTGTGATCTCTTGCAAATAACTTTTTAATACACCAAAGCCTCTGTTTACTCATCTGCAAAATAGGACTTGTATTACTACCTACCTCAGAGAAGTGTTATAAAGATGTAATTAATAGGTGGTCTGTACTCAGCACATGTTAGTGGCCACTGGCACCTCCCATGCTCACAGCCTACCCAAGGACGTGTCCTGCAGTTGAAGCTACATGTCCAGTTCTCTGAAGAACACATTCTTTTCATTAAGCCCTAGGAATCAGACCTGCACAAGAGAAAGTTAATTTTCAGCAGTTTTCTATAAGGATGCTTTTTTAATACAAGAAGTTCTAGAAGTTTTATCTATTTCCTTTTCTCTTGCTAATTTTCTAAATATCTGACATGAAAGAAAAGAGATTGAAGGAAGGAGAAGTGTACCCCTTCTCTCTCTCTCTCTCTCCCTCACACACACACACACACACACACACACACACATACACACACAGCAGGGTCTGTTCCAATAAAAGTGAGGAGGGAAATTATAGCTGGGACAGGGGAGGTGCAGGACTTAGGAATCAGTCTCCTGGACTGGATTCTGAAGTGACTTTAAGGATGATCTTGGATTGGAACCTCTTCCAAAAGGGTAAGAACATGGGTAAGACAGATGTGGTTTGAATAATAGTCCAGATATTTACAATGTGTGTGACCCATTTGCGTTATCTAACCTTTTCCTACTCTCAGTTTGATCATTTACAAAAGCAATGATATGGGAATGTTTGCTGTGAGGATTCAATGAATTAATATATGTGATGCACTTAGAATAGTACTTGACACATTTCTTTGCAATATTTTTATTCTCCTTTCCATAGATGCATTAAGGGAATCTACACTGGATACTAATCAAAAATTGTGGACTATAGAAGAAGAACCACATAGCTTAACTTTAGAGCAGCATTATTTTGACCAATAAAATGTTATTTGTACTGGGGAAAACACTTTCCCAGAGCATGTGACTAAGTTAACAGATGTTGTTGATCTATCATGGTTATGAGATCATTAAGTAGAATTTACATAGTACAATACCAAAGTAGAGTAATTGGGAAGAAGTTACTACAAGGGATACCTGTGCACCATTTTTCTTACTCATTTATATTTGACCATGTTGAGTATTTATATTTGAGCACTGAGGCTGAGGTGTAGCTTTTCAATAATATGGAATGTTGAAGTCCTACAAACATTAGACTTTTTACTCTAGAGTAGGATTATTTTTTATTCTTGAGAGATGGCACTGAAATAATTAGTATTATTTCTTTCCTCTAAGTGTTCAACACCATCATGACCAAGAAACTTGAGCTCAATAGAATGCTGCTCTCTGTGTTCCCATACTACCGTTCCTTGGGCACAGCCTTGTATGGAAAGGAGAAGCCTCTGATCAAGCTTCCAGCACCCTTCAGAGAATCTCTGGGCCTTCCCTTGTGGGAGTTCTTACACAAGAACCACCACCTGATTGAGGAGATAAATGATGAAGTGAGACGCTGTCACTGTGAGCTCACGTGGTCCCAAATCAATAGGGAAGTTATCATCAGACCTGCACCCTCCTTGCTCCATCAAGGAAGACAGAGAATCAAGAGCTGGCAGAAAACTGCTTCCTCAACCTTTGCTCACATCAGGTCTAAATATAAAGTCTCCTCAGTTAAGTTGGATAACATAGTATGGGACACCATAAAACGTGACTTAGAAGACAACAGGGTGATGGTTGGGTTTGATACACTGCTGGAGATCATCACTTTGGTGGGGAGATCAGAGGATGTACAAAACATGGAGGCACAACTCATAGAATTAACAGAAGGCGCCATTCAAAGAATTAAAAGGAAACAGCAAAGTCTGAAGGAAAAAGTGTCCCTTTCTCCAGGGAGATTTTCTCTCTTGTGCCACAGTGGTACACTGGAGAGTTTCTGCCCGGAAGACCCAAAGGTGGAGATTCTCTATGACAAAGCCTCTCAGCACATGGTCATCAAAGGGCTCTCTGAAGATGTGTATAAGATGAAGAGTGAAGTCCTGGAAAAAGTGCACGCCATGGTTCAGAAACATATTGAGGTTCCACCTGAGATCTTACAGTTTTTACAACAGGTAGACTCTGCAGAATTCTCTAAGTCTCTTTTTATAGCACAGAAAATTCTTGCAATTTATGAGCTAAAGGGTCCAAGTGTTCTCTTAACCAGTTGTTCTTCTGAAGTCCTATTAGAAGCTGAAAGTCATATCACCAGAGCCTTAACTTATCAGCGCATAGATGTTGAGAACAGAGAAGTTCTCCATGGCAGGAAATGGAAAGGATTCACTCACAGCTTGCTTATCAAACATAACTCCTCTTCAAAGACTGTCATAATCAATGAGTTAACTTCAGATGTCAACTCTGAGGTCATCGTGGCTGGCTGTGTGAGAGCAGTAAAAATAATTTATGAATTGCTTTTTGACTTTCTGGACAAACACATGGTCATAGAGAGGATGATTGAAGTAAAGTTATCCTTAATGAATGATTTCTTAAGGAAAGAAAAGAAAGCATTATGGCAAAAGGTAAAGAAAACAAATCTGCAGGTAGTTTTTAATCCTGAGAACAAACCAAAAGGCATTTTGCTAATTGGTCTAAAGACTGAAGTCCTGAAGGGTATCAACCTCATCAAGAAAGCCCATGATTCTCTCTGTGTAAAAAGCATCCATATTGACCAGCCAGGAGCCAGGCAGATATTTCAGGAAAGAGGACCGTTTTATAGAAGTGAGGTCAAAAGGCTGTTTGGTTGTTTCATCGAACTACAGGAGAATGAAGGAAAGGAGGGAGGCGCCGATGGGCAGAAACGCTTCTGTCGGGCAGACTTGGCCCCTGGAGTGTCCCTGGTTGTGCAGCAGGGAGACCTGGCAGGGTTTCCTGTGGAAGTGGTGGTGAATGCAGCCAATGAGGAGCTCAAGCTCAGTGGAGGCCTTGCTGCTGCTCTCTTAAAAGCAGGGGGCCCTGAGCTCCAAGCCGACTGTGACCAGATAGTGAAGAGAACTGGCAAGATCCTACCTGGCCGAGCCACCATCTCCAAGCCAGGCAAGCTCCCATACAGACACGTGATCCATGCAGTCGGGCCCCGGTGGAGTGCACAGGAGGCCCAGAGGTGTGTGTCTGAGTTGAAGAGCGCTGTGGAGGAAAGTCTTCGTTTGGCTGAAAAGCACAATTGTCAGTCCATCGCCATCCCTGCTATTAGTTCTGGAATCTTTGGTTTTCCCTTGCCTCAGTGTGTGGAGACCATCGTTTTGGCTGTCAAGGAGTATTTCCAACACAAGTCAGATGGATGTGCCTTGAAGGAAATCTACCTGGTGGATACAGCTGAGATGACTGTGAAGGCCTTTGCCAGCGCTGTAAGAGCTCTGTTTAAAGACACCCGACCTGAAGCTGATGCCGCTTCCCTGCCCAGTGTGCCAGCAGCTGAACAGCCCGACTTGAGACAATATCATGGGAACGGACAAGTTCTCTTGACCCCAGAAGGCCTGAAGGTCCTGCTGGTGAAAGGAGAAGTGCACAGTGCTGCGGTGAGTGACCCGATTCAAACCCTTTATGGGTGCCTCACATTTATCAGATACATGCTTTGCAATATTTTCTCCTATTTAGGTCATCTATCTTTTTATTCAGTTATTGTTTAGTTATTACATTGTCTTTTAGTTCAGCATACTAAAAGAGGCTTTAAAAATTATATTTCTGTTTGCAGAGAGCTTAAATATAATAATAAAATATTAGCTAATGTTGATTTGTTGATTACTGATTATGAGCCAGACTATGCAGAGTGCTTGATATGCTTTTCTCCTTTATTGCTGTGATGCAGATCCTAGATTGTTATTTCTCCTAATGTCTTTCAGGCTAGGGCATGAAACTTAGAGGGGTTAAATAATTTGTCAAAGTTCCACAGCTAAAAAATGGTATAGCCAGGATTGGAATTTGTTTGGGTTATAAATACTGCATTATATTCAAATATTAAAATAATTTTCTCATTAGAAAATTAAAATAACGAAAATCTTATGAGCAAGAGTCAGTAACTAGAATGAGCTCTGAGCCCCGTCCTCCCTACCACCAGAAACTTTCTAGCCTGGCTGGCATGATTGTGAGGTTGAAACAGTTCTGCCAACCTGTGGCAGATCACAGCCTATGTGCTTATATTTAGCTCTCCCTCCTCCCAAGTGACGTCCCCCTGCTGCGACACTTCCAGCTTCTCAGTGCCATGTTGCCCTGGTGTCTTCACCAGCCTTGAAGGGCCTTCCTCTGGACTCCTCCAGTGGCCCCATGCTGTTTATGTACTGCTTTCTGATGATCCTCTAGTGTCCTGGAGTTTCTTAAATGAAAAAATTATCTAATAACACTTGGTCCTACAGTGGTAACAGTCTCAGAAAACTTGATCATATTAGTTTTCTCTTGTTGGGTCATCCCAGTAGTTGAAATATTCTTGATGCATGCTTTTTAATAGTGTTATTTTTTAATAATGTAAGTTTATTTTTACATCATTTTGTGCCTTTTTCCATCTCAGTTGTAATCCTTGTGGGCTTCCCATCACCAAATCACCCATGTGCCATCATCATAGTCCAGTGCATGTTCCTCCCCCCACCTATTTTTGAACTCATTCCCCACTCCACCCCGGTAAAATGTCTCTGGTATATAGTTGTTCATTATTCTTATTATTTTCTTCCCTGGTCCTTTATACTCCTGCTGTAAGTGAAACCACCCAGTATTTTTCCTTTTCTTTCTGGCATATTTCACTAAGCATGCTCCCTTCCAGCTCCATCCATGTTGCTGCAAAATGCATGTGTTTATCTTTTTTTGATTGCTGAGTAATATTACATTGTGTATATGTTCCACATCTTTTTAATCCAGTCATCTATTAGTAGTGTTATTTTTTAAAGATTTATTTATTTATGCATACAATAACTGGGGGTACAGGCCAGAGATGTGAGGAGTGAGAGGATTCACCAGAGACAAAGTGGGGAAAAGAACAGGCAGAGTGACCGAAGTACACTGTTGGGGGGAGCAGGGGACAAGAAAGGTGAGTTCTGCTGTGCTGAGTGGGTCACCTCCCTAGCCAGCGATTGAACTCATGCTGCAATGGCTTTGGAGAGCCTCATAGTGCTGCACTTGGACCACTTGAACTTCCTGGACCACCAGGGAGTGCCCTCTCGTAGTGTTTGAAACAAATTATTGGTTTTGTCTTTAAGGCTGAGGTTGTTGTCAACTCCGTTCCCTGGGATCTTGCACTAGATAGAGGAGCCCTTTCTAAAGCCCTCTTGGGAACAGCTGGGCCAAAACTCCAGGAGGAATTGAACACAGCTGGACAAGCGGTGGCCGTGGGCGTGGGCACAGTTCTCCTCACCAGTGGCTGCAACCTGCAGTGCCAGCATGTGCTTCACGTGGTGGCTCCCAGCTGGAGAAATGATAGCATGTCTGCATACAAGGTGGGGCCTGACTGCACATCCCCAGGAAACTGGGAAGCCCTCTCCACTCTCCTCTGTGTGATGGAGACCAAACAGAATCCTGTCTCTCTCTCCTACAGCCATGTCACACTCGCGGAAGGTTCCGCCATCATGGCTGCCTCTCGTAGCGGTGTCTGACTTCCCCTGAGGACTGGTAGCCGCATTAACTGACACAGCGCTCAACCAGTGTTGGGAGTCAGGGAGAGTCAGCGGAGATAAATCCTGCCTTTAGTGAGGCCACAAGTCAATGGCATGAAGGGCTGAAGAGAAGGAAACTAGAAGAGTGTTTGCTGTGGGTCTTCCCGTCAATCCTGACTGAGCTTGAGTTTGGGACAGGCTCTCAGTGCTCCGCCTCTAGTCTGTACTTCTCTTTCACCTTTTGATTACTCTTGTATTGAAAACAAAAGAGGAGACATCACAATGAGGTTTATCTTTGTCTTTTATTTTCCTAACTCCCATTCTATAAAGATATGTTTTGTTCTTTTCAGAGCATGGAAGACCTAATCAGGAAATGTTTGGAGATCACTGAGAGCCTGTCCGTAAAATCCATTGCATTTCCAGCCATAGGAACAGGAAATTTAGGCTTTCCTAAACCTGTTTTTGCCAGACTAATCATTTCAGAAGTGTTCAAGTTCAGTAGCAAAAGTCAAGCTACCACCTTACAGGAGGTTCAGTTTCTGCTGCACCCAGAGGACCATGGAACTATCCAGGTACAGTCTCTCATTTTTGGTATTTTTTTAGCTCAGCCTTTTGTTCTCAAATGTGTTCTTGGCCATTTCTTCATCTATTTTCACATACAAGAGAACAAAGGAATAGTGGGGACTAGTTGTAGTCTGGTAAACTTCAAGCAAATTTATGGTTTTAGGAACAGAATTAAATTCTTATTCAGGAAATTCTGAACGTATATAAAAGTTGACAAAACAGTGTATGAAATTCCTTGAGCCCACCATTCATCTTCACAATTATCAACATGTGCCACTGTGTTTCACCTCTATTTCATTTATTTCCCATCTCTCCAAAAAATACTATTTTGAAGCTAATTACAGACACAGATTTTACCCATAAGGAATTCAGTTATTTAATTTAGCCAGTAGGGTTCTTGTTGAAATGTTTAATTTGCATATTTCTTATAAATATTTTATTTTGTTTAAAAAGTTTGTATCAGAATCCAAATAATGCTGTGGAGTTCACTTATCCCGTAATCTTTGTTTTCCTCTATTGGATCCCCTTGCACATGAACACAGAAATTTTACTTTATTTATTTTTCAATTTTTTAAAAAGATTAATTTATTTTTGCATATAAGTCTGGAGTATAGGCCAGACAAGTGGGGGAGCAGGGAGTGATAAGATTCACCAGAGATGGTGGGAAGCAGAACAGGCAGATTGACTGAAATACACTGGTGTGTGTGTTGGGGGGGGGGTGCGGATAGGGGTGGGCAGCAGTAGGCAAGACAGGAGAGGCCTGCTGCATCTACTGAGTCACCCTCCTGGCCAAGATGGAACTCATGCTGCAGTGGCTGTGAATAGCTTCACAGTGCTGCTCTTTTACCCATTGTGCCCCCAGGGCACAATGCATACATTATAATACATAATAAAAATAGCCAGTTGAAGTGTTATAAATAGCAGAATTTTAGGATGAGATATGATTAAAGGTTGTCTTTAGAATGCGCTTAGCACCTCCCCACTGGAGTAGGAGTGTTAGGACCCAGTAAGATTAGAACTACCATCGGTCCTAGAGAATCCATGAGCCAGCTTATATTTGCTGGCTATCAGGAGTGGCCAGTCACACCGAAGCATTTAGTAAGAGGCTATTATCTCTGGCCACCAAGTCTTCAGAGTCCAGTAGAATAGATGACATCAGTGTTTGAAAATTTCATGGTAGTGCAAAGTAAATACACAAATGAAAGTAATCAACCCAAAGATGTCCATGGATTATTGGACCATGTGAATTATTAAGTGTACTTACCTATTTTCACAATCCTGAATATTACCTATAAGTTCTTTGGAAGCAAGCAAATGTAACTTAAATTACTCAGGCAGCCAAACCACCCAAGTAAAACGTTGTTCATTTATTTGGTCAGCCCAAATAAATCCCGGTCATAGCGCATTTTTAGCAATCTGCTGTGCCTTGTAGTTTATGTGGTGAGGTGCATCATGGAATGGCCTAACCCTAACCCTAACCTTATTGTCCTACAGACTCAGATATATGATTCTTTGAAATGAATAATGTATACAAACACTTGGAATATCACTGATATAGTATTGATTCTCCACACAATTGTGCCACTAGCTCTCTTAAGATCTTTAAGATGGTAAAACTGAATATATTTCCATGGACTCAGTAAAGTGATTGAGATTGTTCTAGGCAGATTGTAACAGAGGTTGCAGAACAGCTGTGCTGTTGGAAGCATCTACATGTGCTTTACTCAGGCTAATATTTTAACAGGTCAATCGTTCTTAGCATTTAAAAATCACCTATTTCCCACAGCATTCCAGATGCACTTTGTGACCTGACAATCCAAAGGCTTTGGCACCCTGGGAGTGGGCAGTTTGCAATGGCTGAGCGCCCCGTGCCCTCTAGTCTCCCAGTCAGCATCCACCTTGGCGCTTGCAGCTTCCCTGCCTGCCCCCAGGCCTGGGAGCCTGAGACCCTGGCTGAATAGACTCTCCTGGCCCTTCTCCCATCATGCCTTAGTCATTTTGTCATAGGACAGGGAGAGGCACCCCAACTCCCAAACCTGCCCACTCTAAATAGTTTCTGCAGATTGTCACATAGAGAGAAAACAAGTTCTAGTGTATAAGATCTTCAATGGACAGGACCTTGATACAGTTACTGTACAATACACAAAAGGGAAAGGATGGAAAAGATAGTTTCCAAATCAGTCACCCAAAGTTACCAATCCTATAGTGGGCCAATGCCCCGTCAAACGGGTTTATCCCAAAGCAGGGCCTTGGAGGGTGGAAAGCCTGCCACAAGTCTAAAATGCCTTCTGATGGGGACCTATAGAAAAGGGTAGAAACAGCCTGGGAGGAAAAGAACAAAATAAAAATCAAGATTTGGCTGCCATTGTTAACCTCCTCATGGTCTTTTACCCACATCTGTTTCAACCAGTCCAGGGCCAGAAGCAAGTGCAGCTTCTTCACGTGTCTCTGCTCCACGTGGCTCTCCAGGTCTCCTTCTGGTTCTCCCTCCTGCTGGTGTCCTTCCCCACTCTCCTCTCCAGCTTTTCTCCTCCCTGCTCAGCTCCACCCTCCCTTGGCTGGGGCAGGGAATCTGGAACCTTCCCTTTTTCTAGGGACCACCCGGTTACAGTTTCACCAAGAGGCTACTTGTTTACCCCCAACAACACTGTCTGTAGCTTCTTCAAAAGAGAGAAGAAAGTGATGATTTGGAGAGTCAACGATAGTAAAAAAAAAAATGGAATTCATGGGTTCATTAATCCTAGAATACAGGTAATAGCTGATTACAGCAAAAGCACAAACCCCCCAACTATTCATCTCTTGCACTAATAGGAATGTTAAAACTGAAGTGATTAGATCTTTGTGATTGTCTTACTCTTAATAGTATTGTTCACAACAGGCAGGTTATTTGCTCTTACTGATTATGAAAGTAATGTATGTTCTCTATAGAGGCTTTGAATAATCTAAAATGTATAGCTTGTTTTAGTTTTTTCATCAAATCTTCATTAACCTTGTGTACTTTTTAAAAGTGGGATTATATAATTTAAAGTCTTTCTTTTATGATTTAATAGCATAAATGACTATTTCCTTACTCTATTATAAACTATTCTTAAAATGTGTTTTTTAATGACTGGCATTCCAACATGTGGCTATGTTAATATAGGTAATTAGCATAATTAATATGATTAATTATTTTAATGTTAACTAATAATTAAATAAACTTAAACATTTCCCTGTGGAGTTAAAACTTTTATTTTTTCTCTATTACAAATAGCACTGTAATATATATATATATATATATATATATATATATATATATATATCTTCATTTGTGTCTTTACAAGTTTCATAGGATATTTTAAAAAAATAGAATAACAATGCATATTTCCTAATTTTCAACATCTGTAACAAAATAAATAATCCTTTGAGAATTGATCTGTCCTCAGTGTGCATGCTTGCAGGAGCCAAACTGATGAGTCACAATCAGTCATCTGCTAAGGAGCGTAGATTGTAGTGATCAGAACTCTCTTTGCATTTCTAGGCATTTTCAGATGAATTTGCTCAAAGGACTAAAGGAAATTTGGACAGAGACGCCATTCTGAAGACAGAAGATACACAAGGTTCAGTAAAACTTTTCCAGTGAAACATTAGGCAACTGATATCTCTTGTTTTGCCTGCTACCCCTCTTAAGAGTATATTTCAATAATTCTGCCTTTTCTGTTCTCCATTAAATCAATAATAATAAATTCAAACATATTTATGGCTATTAAATAACCATGAGTGCTAGGTGGGAATAATACTGATCAAAAAAGTATTGGGGAACAAAGAACGTAAATAAATTAGGAGATATCAGGAATGCTCACCCTCTCCCACATATGCTTCCCAGGTCAAAAGAGCTCTTTTTCTTGATTCTGTGGATAGAAATAAGAATGTTCTTACCATTTTAGCTCTGTGTCACACAGGTAGTTCTGCAATTGGGGTCTCCTTGGGGTAGCGTCTTGGTTAAAAAGAAAAATGTATGGAAAATAATGAGAAATTACTGCCCTGCCCTTTAAAAATCATGGGGACTATTTTCTCATCCTCAGGCCTCAGGCTCATTTGTGACTCTCAATAGGGCTACCCCAGGGCCAAAGCCAGGAGACAAAAATAAAATATGTCAAAACAATATCATACTCCTCTTTTCCCCTCCCCCACTAAGGGTTGCTACCTCAGGTTTGGACTCTGTCCCGAGTCCACCTGCTGGTGTACTCTCCTCAGTTACCAATTTATGCCTTTTTTTTTTTAAAGGCATTTTTTTTTAAAGATTTATTTATTTATTTGTGCATACAGAACTGGGGTACAGGCCAGAGGCTCAGGGGCGGTGAGAGGCTTCACCAGAGACAGAGTGGGGAGCAGAACAG